CTAGACTTCACTGTCCTCAAAAGAATGTCCTTCAGGTGGACTGCTGACTCTGGTCCACTGGAGTTGGCCCTCCTGTGTTGGGCCATGCGTTTGTGAAGCGGCTGCTTAGTTTCACCAATGTACAAGTCGTTACACAAATGACTACACTTAATTGCATACACCACATCACTCTATGTCTGGGTGTTTTGTCCTTTGGGTGGACCAGTCTCTGCCGCAGGGGTTCCCTGGTTTAAAGTTAACTGGGATATTGTGGTTGTGAAATATCCTTTTTAACTTCTCTGATAATCCAGCCACATAAGGGATGACAGTGTTATCCCCCTCTTGTTTCTGGTTTCTCCCTGTTGGTGTTGGGCCTCTTCCTTGCTTTGGTGAAGCAAGGAAGATCATTAACTTTGTGTCTCCTCTCTCCCATAGTGTGTCTCCTCTCTCTCTCCCGTGGTGTCTCCTCTCTCTCTCTCCCTGTACCTTTCTGCAGGTTGCCCTGGCTCTGGAGTTCTACATCTCTGATAAGCATTTGTTTGAGGATTTTCAGTCAGGTTTTAGAGTCCATCATAGTACAGAAACTACATTGGTGAAAGTCACCAATGATTTTTTTCCTAGCCTCAGATAAAGGACTTGTCTCCATACTTGTCCTCTTAGATCTCAGTGCTGCTTTTGACACCACTGATCACAGCATCTTGCAGCAGAGACTTGAACATGTTATTGGGATTAAAGGAACTGTACTAAGTTGGTTCAAATCTTATTTATCAGAAAAATTTCAATTTGTTCATGTTAATGATGAATCTTCCACACAAACTGAAGTTAGTCACGGTGTTCCACAGGGCTCTGTGTTAGGTCCAATACTCTCCACTTTATACATGCTCCCTTTTAGGCAATATTATCAGGAGGCACAGCATAAATTTCCATTGCTATGCAGATAATACTCAGATATATTTGTCAATTCCATTGCAATATTGGAAAATCAGGAGCATCCTGTCTCAAAGTGATGCTGAAAAACTGGTCCATGCATTTGTTACTTCCAGGCTGGACTAGTGTAACTCTTTACTATCAAGATGTCCCAATAATTCCCTAAAAAGCCTCCAGTTAATCCAAAATGCTGCAGCCAGAGTACTGACAGGAACTAGCAAGAGAGATCATATTTCTCCAATATTAGCTTCTCTCCACTGGCTCCCTGTAAAATTCAGAATAGAATTTAAAATCCTTCTCCTAACATACAAAGCCCTTAATGACAAGGCTCCATCGTATCTTAAAGACCTCGTAGAGCCTTATCATCCTAACAGAGCACTTCGCTCTCAGAGTGCAAGTTTACTTGTGGTTCCTAGAGTCCACAGAAGCAGAATGGGAGGCAGAGCCTTTAGCTATCAAACTCCTCTCCTATGGAACCAACTCCCAGTCTCAGTTCAGGAGGCGGACACCCTCTCTACCTTTAAGATTAGACTTAAGA